ATATATAAATAGAGAGAGAGATTTTAATTTACCAGAAACTTCAAAATAACCGGTACTAAAATTATAATGGAAACACGTGTACCGTACCGAGCCGTGCTGTACCGGTACTAAAGGTACTATGGAAAAGTGGCATTAGATCTTATTACTGTTTTTCTTTTGTATTTTATACTTTTGTTGGATGCAACTGGGACCCTGTGAACATAATTTCATTCCACCACATGTACCACGTGGTGTGTATGACAACAAAGAACCTTGAATCTCTGATGTAGCCACACACCAGAACAGAAGCTGGTACCTCACTTCTTATTCAAGTTCTCACATGGTTTTCATACATCAACGGTGGCAGCCATCTTGGATTTTGACCTGACCACCCAGGTGCTCTTATTGATCTTACTGAAGCAGGCAGATCCCTCAGAGATCACAGATCGTATTTACAAAGGAGGCCTGGGCCTAATCTGCACGTTTTGGACTGTGGGTGAAAGTCCACAGAAAGGGCTCAGGTCCAGTCTGGGGACTGAACCCCGGACGTTGTTGCTGTGAGGCAGCAGTGCTGACCACTACGCTGCCGGGTCGCTCGTGTTCTTCTTCCACAGACAATCAGCAACGTACCAGAATAGGAGTCGGTTATTATTTTTCTATCGTTCTCACAGTAAGGAAAAATAATCCAAGAAAATATTATAAGCTGGGATTTCCAGCTGGTGTGTTTTAGTGAAAGATAAGGTCAACACATTCAGGAGTCGTACTTTGTTTCTTGTAGTAGTCCTCCCAGGCCTTACTGTAGTCTGCCATCAGGTTCTGAGGCTGGTTCTGCTGACCTACAAACACACACCAACACATACAAGAACTGAAGAAGTGAGTTTACCCTCGTGGTTCTGATCCATCCTGCAGATCGGAGACAAACTCTCCTCCTTCACACGGGTGTGTTGTTGTGTGTCTGTGTGTGAGTGGACTTGCCTAGCTTCTTATAGTACTGCTCCCATGCTTTAGAGTAGTCCATCTGTCCTGTCTGAGCCAAACTGTGACCTACACACAAACACACACACAGTTTAAACAAGTGTGTCACTGTGTGTATTTCTGTGTACGTCTATGAACTGTGCACGACACGGAGCAGCTTTTAAAGCATTTCACTCAAACACTGTGTGTGACACGGACCTGGACCGTTTAAAGGTTATTTATCTGACAATGATCATCAGCTGCTCTCCCTCAGGTTCTGTTTGGACCGAGTCTTTGTGTCTGAACGAATCATTGAACTAAAACTAATCATTTCTCTGACAACGGAGAATGAAGGACTTTCACGTATTTGTTAACAAGACACTAAAAATATTTTGACAGGTTGTTGGGTCTACGAGTCCGCCCGTGAGCTCCTGACAAAAACCTTTCTTTGTTCAGGATGATTTTACAGAGACGGGGCCGGAGCCAACAGCCGAGGGAGCAGAAAGAGGAGGAGCTAACGACCAAGGAAGCAGAAAGAGGAGGAGCCAACAGCTGAGGAACCAGAAAGAGGAGGAGCTAACGGCCGAGGAAGCAAAAAGAGGAGGAGCCAACAGCTGAGGAACCAGAAAGAGGAGGAGCTAAAAACCAAGGAAGCAGAAAGAGGAGGGGCTAACGACCAATGAACCAGAAAGAGCCGGAGCTAACGGCCGAGGAACCAGAAAGAGGAGGAGCCAACGTCCGAGGAACCAGAAAGAGGAGGAGCCAATGGCCGAGGAACCGGAAAGAGGAGGAGCCAACGGCCGAGGAAGCGGAGAGGAGGAGCCAAC